TTGGGACCAGTCAATCAGGTGTCCCTGGCATGGAGCTCTGGCCCCGGCTGAGTGACCAAGCTCACGCCTTGATGTCTGCGGGAAATGGCCCATTAGGAGGCTGTTGAACTGCTGTCACAGCTGAAAATGACCAAGGCCTGGACTAAAGCCAAGGTGGAGGCAGGGTAGAACAGACCAGCTTCGACCCAAGGCCTGCTAACTTTCCAGCCCTAGTAACTGGGCAGACTGCGTGATGAACCGGGCACCTCCTCGTTCATGCTGCTGCATCTCTGGCTCTTGGTCCCAGCCCAGAGAGTTGTTCTGTGCCCTGGCATACTCTACCCCACTCCCCAGGCTGTGTCCTGCTTGTGTGCCCAGGGCTGGGAGGGGCTAGGGACTGCCAAATCCCTGGAGGCCTGAGCCCCTGGGGCAGACGGAACCCAAGGAGGCTTCCCAGCTCTGCTGTTTGGTAGCCAGACGACACCATGGTGCTTCCCTGCCCTCAGGTACCTGAGGGGCAGTGAGCCCTCAGCCAGGGCGTCAGGAGCCAGGCAGGTGGCACTCAGGGAGGAGAGGGTGCTTATGTTTGGCCTCTGTGTTTCCCTTTATTGCTGCCTGACCTGGGGCAGGTCACCAAGTCTCCATCTCACCTACAAAATGGGGGGGCGTGATGTTGCTTCTAGGGCCACCCTGCTGCATAGTTGAGGCCCGATCCTTCCACAACAAACAAAATGTACCCAGCATCAGCGAGTGCTGTCTAAGAACCCAGAGGAGCAAAGCTGGACAGGCTGCCTGGGCCCATGGGGCTTGGGTCCCAAGGGCAAGCAGCCACTGTGCAAGAGGGCAGCTAGGTGTGAAGGATGGGAGCAAGCCTGGCCCCTGCCCTCCCAGGGCCTGTCTCCTCGGGACGTGCCTTCTGGGTGTGGCAATGCCAGCCCCAGCCCAGTGGTCCAGTGCTGCATGGCCTCAGCTCTGAGCAAGGCCAGGACAGGGTCCTCCCCTTGCCCTCAGGTCCTGCTCCCTCCTATGCCCACCCCCTGCCTAGGTCCTCCAGGCTTCTCCAAGCCTCAGCCTGTGGCCCCAAACCTGCCCCACCCAGCTCCAGGCAGGGCCCTGCCTCTTTCTCCACAATTCAGAGATGCTCTGGAAGGCCCAGGCAGGCCCTGCCAGCACAGCCTCCTGTGGACCTGGGAAAAGGTGCCCTCTGGGCAGTGGATGCAGGCCTCAGGAGCATGGCCTGGTGGGCAGATTCACATCCATTCATCCTACAGTGGTTCCTGGCACCCCTCAGTGCCAAGCCCATGATTGCCTTTGGACCTTGGCTCCCTGCCCTGCCCTCTCCAGCAAGAAGGGCTCAGCCCAGGTGTACATTGGGCAGTGGCTGAAAGTGACAAGCAGTCTGAGGACCTGGCTCTACTTGTGTCAGGTCTCTGGGCTTCAGTGCCATGGGTGGGAGGGGCAGACTGGTCCCAGGAAAGTGGGGATTCAGCAGTAATTCAGTGGGGAGGAGCAGGATTAATTGGCCACAGTTCTCAGAGATCCACCAGCAGCCATGTGGAAGTGGAGAGAAGGGCGGGGCTGTGGACCCTGGCAAATGCAGAAGCTCTTCTCCCTGCAAAGATTTTCCGAAACTGTGATACTGTTTGGAACCCATAGGAAAAGTTGCTGGAACAATACAGAGTTTCCCCTTGAACTATTTGACAATCAGTGGATGAGGTGATTGCACACGACCCCATCTGTGTGTTTCCTACCAACAAGGGTGTTCTCTCACATAACCTAAGCCACCCAGGACGTTGGGAAAAGGGCCATCCATGCATCACTTCCACCTCATGTTAGACTCCAACTGTCCTAAGGTCTACTTTTTTTCTTGTATCATGACCTTATTTATTTACAAGCACTGGATGAGTCCCTGGCCTTCCCCAGGACAGAGCAACCCTACGCAGCCCCAGCCCAGTTAAATACTGCAGTTGGGAGCTAGGGGGCTGGAGGGAGGACTGAAGGGAGATACAGGACTAGGGGCACATATCCATTAAATGGTCACATGTGGGCCAGATCCTGTGAGCCTGCAGAGCCACGGCTGTCACCACCCCCACACCGGGATGCGGGAGGGAGCCGAGGCAGGCCCAGGGATGCCCATGTGTCTTGCCCTGGAATGTGGAAGGGACAGGAATGGCTCTCAGGGAGTGTAAAATGGGAATGACAAGGCTTGAACTGTCTTCTTGTGGGACCCAGTTTTCGGGACAACACCTGGTCCACTTTTCCATGAACACGGCAGCCTTGAGGAAGTGGCTGGCCAGCAGAGGCCCTGCCTACCCCAGGCCCGAGCACAGCCCGCTCCTTCCCGCTGTCCCCAGAAAGGACGGCAGCCGCTGGTTCCCAGCGCCCTTTGGAGAATCGCCGTCCCCACCCGGAAGGGGCCAGGCACAGCCTGTGAGTCCTCGTGTGCCTTAGGAGAAGCTCTGGACAGGGTGGCTGACCAGGCAGGCCCAAAAGAGGTCCCAGCCCAAACACAGCAGCGCCAGCCAGATGACAGACACCAGGCTGTGTGGAGGCCTCCATGTTGCCCTGTGTACTTCCTTGCGCCAAAGCAGGCAGCAGATAGCGTCGCTTCCACAGACATCTGCACCCATAGATGACACTTTCCTGCCATGAGGGTGGCGTGCAAACTCTGTCCATGAAAGAGTATTCCTGCAGTGCCCACCAATGGCTCTGACACCTACCGGAGGTTCTGGACCCCACAGTGATGATTCCTTTGTAGTAGGGCTGAGTGTAGGTAACCCTCTGGGAAGTCACTTTGCAGATGAGACAGGTTTGAGGACTTCAGACGTATTTCTCCCTGCATTCTGGATTGGAGCAGCTTTGTTGCAGGCACCAAGTTGACTACAAGCTGATGCGTCCTGCCTTCTACCTTGATGAGCAGTGGGCACTCTTACTTCCCAGGCTGGTCAGGGTGAGTAGAGGGCTGGGTGTCCCTCATAGAAAGGGGTGTGCCTGGGGTGGGGCAGGTTTACTGGCTTCACTCAGTGGCGCAAAGGGGGTCAGCTCCTCTGGGCCCAGCCTCACCCCATCCTGCCCCACTAAATCATTGCCGAGGGAAGCCTCTCCATCTGCGGCCACCTCTAGTGGGTCACCAGCCTAGTAGTGTCCTTTTTATTTATTTATTTTAAGACAAGGTCTTCCTGTGTTGCCCAGGCTGGAGTGCAGTGCTACAATCATGGCCAACTGCAGCCTTGACCTCCTGGCTCAAGTGATCCTCCCAAGTCAGTCTCCTGAGTAGCTGAGACCACAGGTGCATGCTATCATGCCTGGCTAATTTTTTTTTGCAAAGATAGGGTCCTGTTATGTTGCCCAGGCTGGTCTCAAATTCTTGGGCTCAAGCAGTTCGCCTGCCTCAGCTTCCCTAAGTGCTGGGATTGCAGTATAAGCCACACCCAGCCAATAATCTGTTTTAACAAAAGGATTCAGTTCAGGCAATTACACCCACTGCCGTTCTGGCCGTGAGCCACCACACTCAATCAGAACTATTTCCAATGATTTAAAAATACAGTATTTTGACCTCACATCCATAGTAGGATATCTACTAAGTGTTTTTTTTTTTAATCTTAAAAAATTAACATAATAAAATCTTAAACGCATTTAATAGTCTTATGGTTAGTAATAACGATGACGATATTGGCCAGGCATGGTGGCTCGGGCATGTAATCACAGCACTTTGGGAGGCCGAGGTGGGAGGATTGCTTGAGGCTAGGAGTTCGAGACCAGTTTGGCCAACGTTGCGAGATCCCCATCTCTACAAAAATTTAAAACATCAGCCAGGCATGGTGGCACGCACCTGCCGTCCCAGCTACTCAGGAGGTGGAGGCAGGAGGAGTTGGAGACTGCAGTGTCTAGGATCACACCCTCACTCTCCAGGCTGGACGACAGAGCAAGACCCCGTCTCAAAAACAAAAAACAAAACTGAAGCTGCGTAACAGGTACGATGGGATTCATTATTCCATTCCTTCTACTTCTGAGTATGTTTGAAAATTTCCATTTTAGAACTTTTTTTAAAAAGAGAGAGCAAGAACATGTTGGCTTAGCAACAGAAAAGTATACATATGTTCAGCCAGAGACATGAACGAGAATGTTCTTAACAGTACTATTTATAACAGCCCCAAACTGGAAACAACCCAAATGTCCATTAACAGAAGAATGAATAAATAGCCGGGCATGGTTCTTTGTGGCTGTAATCCCCGCTACTTGGGAAGCCAAGGCAGGAGAATCCCTTGAGGCCAGGAGTTCAAGACCAGCCTGGGCAACATAGAGAGACCCATCTGTAAAAGTAATTTTTAAATGTAGCTGGTTGTGGTGGCTCATGCCTGTAGCTCTAGTCCCAGTTACCTGGGAGGCTGAGGGAAAGGACTGCTTGAGCCTGGGGATTTGAGGCTACAGTGAACTATCCGTACTCCAGCCTGGGTGACAGAGTGAGAACCTGTCTCTAAAAAAGAAAAAAAAAATCAATAAAGGGTAAACATTCATATAACCAAGTGAATAACATGGATGAACCTCACAGACATGAAATTGTACATTCTGTCTGCTTCCATTTGATAAAAAAACTGGCCAAGTTATTTTATTCTGTTAGAAGCAGGATAGAAGGCCAGGTGTGGTCACTCATGCCTATAATTCCAGCACTTTTGGAGGCCAAGGTGGGAGGATTACTTAAAGCCAGGAGTTCAAGAGCAGTCTGGGCAACAAAACAAGACCCTGTCTCTACAAAAAAAAATGTTTAATTAACTGGGCATGGTGGTGATGTGTGTGCCAATACTCCCAGCTACTCAGGAGACTGAAGCAAAAGGATTGCTTGAGCCTAAGAGTTTGAGGCTGCAGTGAGCTCTGATCACACCACTGCACTCCAGCCTGGTAAAGAGAGAGACCCCATCTCTCTCTCTTTTTTTTTTTTTTTTTTAAATTCACCTGAGTGCAGGTGAGCTGAGGCCAAAGAAGTTGTCAGACTATTTATTTATTATTATTATTTTTTTAAAGGTAATCAGTTATTTAATTAGATTATCAGGACATTTAAAATACCAATTTGTGAGGATAAATTCCATTTGTCAGGGCAAACACAGATCGCAGGTAGCCCTGGAGCTGAGGAATAGCTTTGATTTTTGGTAAAATTTGTGAGTCCACAGCTTTCTGATCAATCTTGCGCTGCTCTGTAATCTCGTATTTCTCTTTTTCTGTGTGGAAGATCTCACCTTCCTGGTGTCTGGGCTTTCACAGCTTCTTCTTGAAGTAAGCATCAGTAAGATGTTTTGAGATTTTTACATTGCTGATACCAATTTTGGTTGAGGTGGCAATGACAAATTTCTGGTGCGTTCTTCTCAGAGGAACTTGATTGAGGACCAGAGGTCCAGTCACAAGTAATAAGCCACTAGCCAGCTGCTTCAGGGAAACCACCCTCTTGCCCCTGTGGCATCCGGTGAGGATGATCAGAATGGTCCCAGGGGTGATGCTGGCTCACAGTTTTCTCATGTGCTGACTGAAGGGTTTTTGCCGTGGCTCAACAGCTTTCGAGGCACATCTTCAGTAGGATAATACCTAGGCATTTTGCGAAGTTTAACCACCCGGGTACCGGGTTGAGACCAACCCGGCCAATATGGTGAAATTTCATCTATACTAAAAGTACAAATATTGGCTGGCCGTGGTGGCACACGCCTGTAGTTCCAGCTACTCAGGAAGCTGAGGCCCGAGAATCGCTTGAACCTGGGAGGTGGAGGTTGCAGTAGCCAAGATCACACCACTGCTCTCCAGCCTGGGTGACTGAGCAAGACTGTGTCGTTTTAGAAAAAAAAAAAAAAGAAAAAAAGAAAAGAAAAAAAATCAAGGATCATTTAAAATAATAATATAAAAAATGGCCAGCATTAGGATGAGTGAAAGTTCATAAACTCTTCCTATGGTGACTCACATATGGCATAAGGAACTAGCTCTCTAGTTTTGCCTTCTCCTTTCTCTCTTCTCTAAGGTTCTATCATTTCCCAGGCCTGTAACTTGCTATCTTCCCACTACGGTGCCTTCTAATAAAGAGCTATCAATTTTCCAAAGCTAAACACAGTGTAAATTTTTGCTGTGGTTATTTTTTGACATATCAAAAAAGGCACCAAGCCTAGATGTTTTTTAAGCTTTAAAAATCTATTGGCCAGCACCATGGCTCATCCCTTTAATCCCAGCACTTTGGGAGGCCAAGGTGGGTGGATCACCTGAGGTCAGGAGTTTGGGACCAGCCTGGCCAACATGGTAGAACCCTGTCTCTACTAAAAATACAAAAATTAGCTAGGCATGGTGGCACATGCCTATAATCCCAGATACTCAGGAGGCTGAGGCAGGAGAATCACTTGGGCTTGGGAAGCAGAGGCTACAGTGAGCCAAGATCATGCCACTGCACTACAGCCTGGGAGACAGAGTGAGACTGTCTAAAAAAAATCTAAAGGCTTTATCCTTAGGTAACAGATCATTCAAATGCTATTTAAACGACTCCAGAGAAAAAGATGGTAAGCTCTCTTAACATATTTTATGATATTAATATTGGGCTGGGTGGGGTGGCACACACTTGTAATCCCAGCACTTTGGGAGGCCAAGGCGGGCAGATCACGAGGTCAAGAGATCAAGACCATCCTGGCCAACATGGTGAAACTCTGTTTCTACTAAAAATACAAAAATTAGCTGGGCATGGTGGCATGTGCCTGTAACCCCAGCTACTCAGGAGGCTGCGGCAGGAGAATAGCGTGAACTTGAGAGGCAGATGTTGCAGTGAGCTGAGATCGTGTCAGTGCACTCCAACCTGGGTGACACAAGCAAAACTCTGTCTCAAAAAAGGGAGGGAGGGAATGTGTGGCCACAGATTGTAAATAGGATCAATAAGACAGACCTCCATTTTCCAAAGCTGAATTATGGCAGACATAAGGTTGCTGGGGGACCCACATCAAAGAAGACACTTGGAGCCTTCGGAGAAGAATTGCGGGAGGCAAAACCCCCAAAGGTGCCTGAAAGCTTCAGCAATCACTAGAAGGGGAACTCAGTACATGTGCTGAGGGGTCCCTGGAGAGAGGACCCCTTCAGAGGCTGCAGTTCTTAGGTCTTGCCAGCCACTCCCTGCTGCCCACCTATAAGGTCCCAGGCTCCCTGAATCCTCAAGACAGTAACTACAGGGGTACCTGCTCATCCTTGTCCAGAGCAGGGTTTCTGGGGGACACAGCCATAGATATCACTGTGAGTCCTCCTGCACCTTAATTTGGGTGCTTTCAAACGGAAAGACCGGGGCAGTTCCCCTCCACCCTCCAAGCACTGTATTCTAGCCTGTGAATGCTGCTGGGGCGGAAGGCCACTTCTGGTCATGCCTTGGTGAGTTAATCCATCTTTGCAGGTGTGGAACTCCTGTTCGCAGTGGTCTACCAGTGTCCTAACTGCTATTCGGGCATGTGGGCCCTTTGATTGCACTGAGAATGCTGTTCCCTTATGAGACTGTGTAACTGGATTAGATGCTTTAGGGTTCTGCAGCCCAAGGCAAGGTACTGACTTGCTGATTTTACGTGCTTAGGGTGACCTCTGCTGATGGCTTCTCTAAATACTGGCTGACTACTCAGCCAGGAACTGCCTGTACCTTCTCACATCAGCAGGTAGTTGGAGCCACACTGCTTCCAAGAGGAAAAGAGAGTGCTCTTCTCCTGCAAGAATTATTAGAACA